TTCTTTGTCGCTAAGCCATTTATCCATTGGCGGCCAATCAGTTATTTGTGTACTTCAGCTTGAGCTGAATGTTATAGGAATGGCGATGTGGTATTAGAAGAAGCACGAATAATATGGAATTTACGTTGTTGTGTTGTTGCGTTTGTACTTTGCATGCCTGTGTGATTGTTCGTTTGTATTAATTCGAGTCTCAAGTTGAAAATGTTCGCATGTACGTCCATCAATTTAAAATTATTTTAAGTGTCCGAAATGTTACTGAAAGAACATAAATGTTAACTAAGAATGCTATTTTTTCAGTGGATCATTGGGTTGATGAGTCATCTCCAACCATTCCATGAGGTGACCTAAAACGACTTCAATCTCGGCATCAAGAGCCTAACAGCATCATGTCACAACTGATTCCGAGGGCCGTGTTGGCGATGCTGGCTGTGCTGCCAATACTCGTCATCTCACACCAGAAGAAAGGCAACGAGCCGACCCTCATGATCGTGCTGCGGGTGCGCAACAAGGAGGCCTACCTACCGTACACTCTGTCGCAGCTCAGCCTGCTCGACTACCCCAAGGAGCGGCTGTCGCTGTGGGTGGCCAGTGACCACAACCAGGACCGGTCGGCCGAGATCCTGCTGACCTGGCTGGAGCGGTACGGCCCTCTCTACTCGTCTGTGAAGGCGGCCGTCAACACTAGCTCGCCGCCGCTGCGGCCGGACGAACGCAGCGCAGTGCACATGTCGCCCGGTCGACTCCGCGCCGTGGCTGATATGAAGCAAGAGGCGCTGCAGACGGCGCGCCAGCTCAGCATAGACCTGATCTGGTTCTTGGATGCCGATGTCGTCCTACACGACAGCACCGTCCTCCGCCAGCTGCTCAACACGCAGAAGCCACTGGTGGCACCAATGCTGCGTTCTGTAGGAAAACACTCGAACTTTTGTGAGGACGTGACAGATGATTTTTTCTGTGTTGAGAGTGAGAGGTTTTCTGAGATCTACTCCCGCCAGCAGCGTGGCTGTTTCGCAGTGCCTTTGATCCGCTCCTGTGTGCTGGTGGACCTCCGTGACCCCCGCACGGCTGGACTCACGTTCAGCTCAGATAGGTGCGGGACACGGCCAGAACGGGAGACGCTCGACGATGCCGTCACGCTGGCGCTCTCAGCGCGTGACGCTACTCTGCAGATGACCGTGTGCAACCAAGAGGACTTTGGCCAGGTGTCCGCTCCGCTGACACCAACACAAGAGCCGAAGGACGAACGACGCAACATGGCTAACATGAAGCTGAAGGCGCTGTTGGACTGGGGGCCGCTTCCAGTAGTGCCCCTAATGCGTCTTTTTCTGCCAAAACTACCCACCAAAAGTCGACTGGGCTTCGATCGGATCTACGTCATCGGCCTGCAGCGACGTCCGGAGCGCTGGAGACGGCACAACGCCTGCTTTGACGAGCTCGGCATCGAGGCGGTTCATGTACACGCGGTGGACGGCCGCAAACTCACGGACGACATGCTGGAAAAGTATAACATCTCTTCGCCACGTAACAATGAACGCCGTGTTCGCCTCAACAAAGGCGAGATCGGCTGTTTTCTGAGCCACTACGGCGTATGGCAGGATGTTGTTGACAGCGGTTTGGAGCGTGTTCTGGTGCTTGAGAATGACGCCCACCCGACGGCCGAGTTTCCCGAGCGCCTACAGCAGCTGGTGGCAGAGGCTGACCGACTCCGACCTCAGTGGGACTTCATCTATCTCTTCCGAGAGTTGCCTAGAAACGACGAGCCAGTGGAAGGCGCCGAACAGCTCATCAAACCGGGCTTCTGCTACTCGGCAATGGCCTACGTTCTGAGCAGGAAAGGAGCGGAGACACTGCTTCGAGACCGACCCCTGAAGAATATGCTTTGTGTTGATGACTACATTCCTCTGATGGCAGGCAACGCGCCTCACTCTAGGTGGATTGGCAGGTTTCCCAGTGCCGGGACGCTGAGGATATTCGCATCCAGGGACCACCTCATTCACCCAGCGAAAGTTCGCGGAGAGCCAGGATACAACAGTGACACGACGGAAGTGGACGGCGTGGTGGGCGCCCGGAGCTGTGCCGCGGAGGGGAATATGGATTCAGACTGTTATCGTCCGAATCTGTAGTTATTTTTGAGCGAATTACTGATAACCATAGCTGTAGTAAAATATATGTGATAGCTGTGTATTCACGCTTTATGTATCAGGAAGACAAGCAATGCATGCTTATAAATTATCCATTCATGTAGTTTGTTCTTGGAGGCAGAGGTGGTCGGTGGAAAGACAGCATTATTAAAGAAGCAATCGTGCAATCCTCATTTCAGACACGCCTTGTTGATGACATGTCACTAGCTACAGGGTGTCCCGAAATTGATTGCGCGTTCATCCCATCGCATTCATAATAAAACAAAAAATGATCGGTACTTGATTTATTTACTGATGCATCCTCCCCTTAGTCGAATGCTCTCTCTCTCTCTCTCTCTCTCTCTCTCTCTCTCTCTCTCTCTCTCTCTCTCTCTCTCTCTCTCTCTCTCTCTCTCTCTCTCTCTCTCTCTCTCTCTCTCTCTCTCTCTCTCTCTCTCTCTCTCACTCGCTCTATCTTTTTTCTCGCTGTCTTCACCTCTCTCCATTCCTCCCTTTCCATCTCTCTCTCCCTCCCTCCCTCCCTCCCTCCCTCTCTCTCTCTCTCTCTCTCTCTCTCTCTCTCTCTCTCTCTCTCTCTCTCTCTCTCTCCCTCTCTCTCTCTCTTCTTCTTTCTCTCTCTCTCTCTCTCTGTCTCTCTCTCTTTCTCTCTCTCTCTCTGTCTCTCTCTCTCTATCTCTCTCTCTCACTCTCTCTCTCTCTCTCTCTATCTCTCTCTCTCTCTCTCTCTCTCTCTCTCTCTCTCTCTCTCTCTCTCTCTCTCTCTCTCTCTCTCTCTCTCTCTCTCTCTCTCTCTCTCTCTCTCTCTCTCTCTCTCTCTCTCTCTATCTCTCTCATGGGCTGAGGCATCCCACACACCAGATTGTCTAGCGTCTCAGCGCTGATACCACGGTAAAACTCTTGCCTGAGATGTCAGAAGCGATTTTATCAGCAAGACATCGCGCCAGCGCACAACGCGGCCAAGACTCAGCAGTGGTGCCGCGACAACCTCCAATGGTTCTGGGAGAAGGGCGAATGGCTCGGCAACAGCCTTGACTGTCTCCCATTGAAAATCTCTGAGTTATCGTGCAGGGCGAGCTGGACAAGAGAGAGCCACCCACCTCCAAGAAGCCGCTGGTCAGCAATCTGCAGAACGCTTGGCGTCAGATCAGCGCCGAGACGCTGGACAATCTGGTGTGCGGGATGCCTGAGCGCATGAGGGAGTGCAGTCAACTAAGGGGAGGATGCACCGGTAAATAAACCAAGTACCCAGTTACCCACCATTTTTTGTTTTAATATGAATGAGATGGGATGAAGGCGCAATCAATTTCGGGACACCCTGTATTGCGCGGACGTATGCGCTGACGCGCGGACGCATACGGGCATCATACATGTATGTATACATACACGTCTCGTGTGCAAGTTGGGCATGTACTGTGCACTGGTAATATGATCAATGTTGACTGCGATTTTCTTTCAATTTACCCCAGAACGAAAACAGCTTTGTTCAGAACCTCATAGCAGCAGGTAATAATAAGGTGCCCGTCTTAGCAAATTTCGAAATGATTGCATTGCGTTTCTTTAGTCCTATTAGTTGGTGGGCGAAATACATAAATAAGCCTCATTGCCCGCCCTGATAATGAAGCATTATTTTGGTTGTCTTCCTCGGGCTACAGTTATGTCACATCGAGTAATACGTGTTCTAATTGTGTCCGTTTTATTTTAACAACGTTTTTATATTATTTTGAATGTTGAAGCTATACAATGAGAGCTGTACAGAGGTCGTTTTAAATTTTAATTGACGCCTGGTATCGACCGATATCTCTCTCTGTGCCAACGAATTGGAGTCTATGGGCTGCGCGCCGAACGCGGCTCAGCGCCGCAGGCGCAATGAATCGCATTCAGCTGATTATGCGATGACTGTTAGGCGCCGAATCATGCACTGACGACTCAAGATTATTTTACTTCTCCTGACGACTTGAAATGCTTGAGCTTTTCAGCGCGTACTAGGCACTGGACGATTACGCGCAAAATAAGCGCCTAACCAGTGGACGGCGGCCTTAACCCTCGCCCTCACAGGGGGGGGGGGGGTTGATGCAACCCACCATAAGGTTTTTCGCGAATAACTCGCGTAAAAGAGGCCGATCGCAATGAAACTTTTTGTACCCTCGCATTGATCAATTTTACACCTACCCTGGAAATTCCATGACCCTGACCCAAATGACCTTTGACCTGTGATCTACTTTCCGAGACCATATTTGGCCGGAATCGCGATTCGGCGTACTCGTATGTCGGCTCGCATTAGCCGCGCGTTTGCAAGCTTTTCGTGGTTTCAAACGTTCAAACATGTGATTTGATGTTGCTCCCATGCATTAGGGTGGATGTCAAGGTCACTTGAAGGTCAGGTCAGGTCATTGACCTTTGGTGACCTCGGGTGACCTCGGTTCACTTTTTCGAGTTTTACATGTTTCTAGGCTAGTTTTTGGAGCTGATTTCGAATTTAGCAACCATTTGAACATTTGTGAAGTAGTTTTGGTGCCTTCGTAACATGTTACGAAGCTGTCAGAGGTGGTTAATACGTATTACAAATAACCGTCACGACCCCTACCGGTTGACCTGACCTGACCTGACCCGACCTGGTCTAAATGCTTAAAGACATCATCTCTGATCAAAACTAACACGATATTCGTGATCAACACACCGGAACCCATAGCAGCCACACTTTACGAAATGGCCTGTGCCGACGAGGGTTAACCCACTGCTAATAATAGAATGGGCTTGTAACATTTTTTACAGTGAAGGATGATTTAGGTTGGCTATGACCGAGAAAGTAAAAGGCATTTATGTCATGGTTTTTATTCCATACTGTAATGCTCTGCACATTTTGTTTGTATGTATTGCACGCCAATTTGATTACAGTACATATTTCCAGTACATGCATACCGTCGACATGACACAAACGCGGAATCTTCCCAACCCTACTTCTTAAACCAATAGCACGTTCGATTGAACGGTCCGTCTCCTTCGTAATCGTAGCATCCCATTCCCACACCAATCTGCACATCCTGAAAGCGAGCGCACATGCCGAGCTCAGCAATTATTGGGCACTCATTAGTCATTACTCGTAATCGGTGTAGAATCATCAACGTAAGCTTCATTCCTTCCATTCCATCCCGTATCGGACTACTCTCGATGCATGTGGGTGACCCTCAATGCACTGCTACGTAAGTACAAAATAAAGAAGCACCTATTAATTTTGTAGGGGGCCATTTATCTCAATTACGGCCTGGCCAATTGCGCACAAATTTGTTACAACTTCAGTATTCAGCTAACAGCATGACCCACGTAAGTATGATCTCATCACACTTGCGCTGTACGCACGTGCAAGGTTCATAGTTGCGCTAGCTCGTTAGTATCGCTATCTCAAATATAATGGTAAGTATGATTTCCTAAAGCCGGGTACTCAACATTGTCTGCAGCAGCTATCTACAGATTCGGACGATAACAGTCTGAATCCATATTCCCCTCGGCGGCACAGCTCCGGGCGCCCACCACGCCGTCCACTTCCGTCGTGTCACTGTTGTATCCTCGCTCTCCGCGAACTTTTGCTGGGTGAATGAGGTGGTCCCTGGATGCGAACGTCCTCAGCGTCCCGGCACTGGGGAACCTGCCGATCCACCTAGAGTGAGGCGCATTGCCCGCCATCAGAGGGATGTAGTCATCCACACAGAGCATATTCTCTAGGGGTCGGTCTCGAAGCAGTGTCTCCGCTCCTTTCCTGCTCAGAACGTAGGCCATTGCCGAGTAGCAGAAGCCCGGTTTGATGAGCTGTTCGGCGCCTTCCACTGGCTCGTCGTTCCTAGGCAACTCGCGGAAGAGATAGATGAAGTCCCACTGAGGTCGGAGTCGGTCAGCCTCTGCCACCAGCTGCTGTAGGCGCTCGGGAAACTCGGCCGTCGGGTGGGCGTCATTCTCCAGCACCAGAACACGCTCCAAACCGCTGTCAAAAACATCCTGCCACACGCCGTAGTGGCTCAGAAAGCAGCCTATCTCGCCTTTGTTGAGGCGAACACCCCAGTCATTGTTGCGGGGCGTCGATACGTTGTACTTTTCCAGCATGTCGTCGGTCAGTTTGCGGCCGTCCACCGCCTGTACATGAACCGCCTCGATGCCGAGCTCGTCGAAGCAGGCGCTGTGCCGTCGCCAGCGCTCCGGACGTCGCTGCAGGCCGATAACGTAGATCCGATCGAAGCCCAGTCGACTTTTGGAGGGCAGGTGTGGCAGGAAAAGACGCATGAGAGGCACTACTGGAGGCAGCCCCCAGTCCAACAGCGCCTTCAACTTCATGTTAACCATGTTGCGTCGCTCGTCTTTCGGCTCTTGTGTTGGTGTCAGCGGCACCGGCAACTGGCCGAAGTCCTCCTGATTGCACACGGTCATCTGTAGACCAGCGTCACGCGCTGAGAGCGCCAGCGTGACGGCATCGTCGAGCGTCTCCTGTTCTGGCCGTGTCCCGCACCTATCTGAGCTGAACGTGAGTCCAGCCGTGCGGGGGTCACGAAGGTCCACCAGCACACAGGAGCGGATCAAAGGCACTGCGAAACAGTCTCGCTGCTGGCGGGAGTAGATCTCAGAAAACCTCTCACTCTCAACACAGGAAAAATCATCTGTCACGTCCTCACAAAAGTTCGAGTGTTGTCCTACAGAGCGCAGCATTGGCGCCACCAGTGGTTTCCGCGTGTTGAGCAGCTGGCGGAGGACGGTGCTGTCGTGTAGGACGACATCGGCATCCAAGAACCAGATCAGGTCTATGCTGAGCTGGCGCGCCGTCTGCAGAGCCTCTTGCTTCATATCAGCCACGGCGCGGAGTCGACCGGGCGACATGTGCACTGCGCTGTGTTCGTCCGGCCGCAGCGGCGGCGAGCTAGTGTTGACGGCCGCCTTCACAGACGAGTAGAGAGGGCCGTACCGCTCCAGCCAGGTCAGCAGGATCTCGGCCGACCGGTCCTGGTTGTGGTCACTGGCCACCCACAGCGACAGCCGCTCCTTGGGGTAGTCGAGCAGGCTGAGCTGCGACAGAGTGTACGGCAGGTAGGCCTCCTTGTTGCGCACCGGCAGCACGATCATGACGGTCGGCTCGTTGCCTTTCTTCTGGTGTGAGATGACGAGTATTGGCAGCACAGCCAGCATCACCAACACGGCTCTCGGGATCAGTTGTGACATGATGCTGTTGGGAGCTTGGTGTCGGCCTTCAAGTCGCCCCAGGTCACGCTATATTAGGTCCCGAGGCAGCCCAGAAAAGGCGAGTATCTATGCTGCAATCAGACGCTGAAAAAGAAATGGTGCTCGTCACCTTAGGAACATTACATTGATAGTTTTTAATTAATTGATATTTGTCCGATGGAGGTTATACACGTAAAATTAAAATTTGATTTCATGCGAACGAACACGCATATACATATATGGTATACAATCAACGATATGGAAAACTATCAAAGACTGTCTTAATCACGCTACAACTGACACCACATTACCATTCACATGGTATTCAGGCTAGGTTAAAAGAAGCAAATGGTCGCTAAATGGTCGATTGTGTCAATCAATCGAAGGCAACCTCCAGCCAAACACTCACCTACCTTGCCTTCCAGAGACTCCGTTTAAGTGTCTCACTTTTCCGACCTCCCAGCGCCCACTGGTCACTGCACCAGCACCGCGCGCGCGAGTTTACGTGCACCAACCGTCTTCGGACCGGTTTTGTTTTGAGAGATGAACATCTCTCGTAATACGATTACCATTCTTCTGCGGAATATGCAAGGATGGATGAAAGAATACCTAAGGTTGGTATGTTGTGATAGCAAGAAACAAGAAATGAGTGTATTTGCTAGCCTGAATTGATAAAGCGAATCTATGTAAATTTGTGTGCCGACTGCCGGAAAGGACGCATGCCTCTGCGAACAACTTTGATCTCAAGCGTATGTCTCTTCTCTCTGCCACTTTTTTATCCATCACTCCTACTTTCTATTTCTCTGTTCCTGTACCTGTCCCTGTCTCTGTCTCTGTCTCTGTCTCGTTCTCCGTCTCGGCCCGGCCTCTCTCTCTCTCTCTCTCTCTCTCTCTCTCTCTCTCTCTCTCTCTCTCTCTCTCTCTCTCTCTCTCTCTCTCTCTCTCTCTCTCTCTCTCTCTCTCTCTCTCTCTCTCTCTCTCTCTCTCTCTCTCTCTCTCTTTCTCTGACTGTCTGTCTGTCTGTCTGTCTGTCTGTCTGTCTGTCTGTCTGTCTGTCTGTCTGTCTGTCTGTCTGTCTGTCTGTCTGTCTGTCTGTCTGTCTGTCTGTCTGTCTGTCTGTCTGTCTGTCTGTCTGTCTGTCTGTCTGTCTGTCTGTCTGTCTGTCGTCTGTCTGTCTGTCTGTCTGTTTCTCTCTCCCCCTCTCTCTCCTGATCTGCCACCTCACCCTCCTCCTCATCAGACCGGCTGCAGCGCCCTGTTCTGGTTGAACAACCTGTGAGCGGCGTGGTGGCCCGGGGTCAGCCGGTCACCCTCAACTGTCGAGCGATCGGGCGGCCCCCGCCGCGCATCCTCTGGCTCCAAGATGGCGAGCCGGTGGACCCCAACCGTCCAGACCGGCTCACACTGCCCCCGGGCAGTCTGTTCTTCCTCTCGGCTAAAGAGAGGGATGCAGGCGTGTATCAATGCCGGGCCGAGAACGACGCTGGATCGGCCGAGAGCCGAAACGCAACGCTCGTCGTCGCTAGTAAGTCAAGGAACAATATCTACGTTTGTGTTGTCACGCAGATGAAAATCCAATGAACGGCTTTGCATTGAAGTGGCAACTATTATTGTCTGCCAGCTGTAAATGCTAGCCATTTAAATGGTAGGAAATTTTCTGAACCTTGGACACTTAATAGTGCTTTAGCTGAACCCGTTGTTTTGCGTCGAGTAAAGGCTATGCATATTTACATATAAGCGCACATGCATACAAGACATGCAACAAATCCCACTCCTCCCCTTTCACTATAGCTTTTCCGTCTAAGTGCACGTTTCATTGACAGTGCTGAGAGACACCTTCCGAGAGGAGCCGGTCGACACTCGTGTGGAACAGGGTGGCACTGCGCTGCTCAAATGTGACCCGCCCAGAGGTCATCCGGAGGTCAAGGTCACCTGGATCAAGGATGACCTGCCGCTACTGACTGGAGAGAGGTGTGTGCCGGTGAGAGAGGATGGCTATTTACTTGATAATTATGTAGTCAATAGGTATGAGTAGTATTTAAATAGATCCCTCACCTTTCTGTTATTATCATCTCTATCTAAGTATAGCTAGTCCATCTATATATTATCTATCTATATCTATTATGTTATCTATATGTAATTCACATTTTCTTCTTTCTTTCTTTTTTCTTTCTTTCTTTCTTTCTTTCTTTCTTTCTCTCTCTCTCTCTCTCTCTCTCTCTCTCTCTCTCTCTCTCTCTCTCTCTCTCTCTCTCTCTCTCTCTCTCTTTCTCCTCTGACCATTTCACACCCTCTCTCTCTCTGCCTCAGAGTGCAGCAAAGAGGCTCCACTCTGTACATCCTCAGCAGCCGAGTTTCTGACTCGGGACGATACGTCTGCCTCGCCGAGAACGTCCTGGGAGCACGCCGCTCGAGAGAGGCCGTGCTCACCGTCCTCGGTACGTGGTGGTGTTACGTGATTCGTTCGTGACGGTCGGCAGTCAGCCTGTAAGTTAGAGTTGGGTATCTATGGACAATCAGCTTTAAATGGCCTCACACACGAAACTTTCTTTCCCTGTAACCCATTCCCTCTGGGTCATATACCTTCCCAGTTCCCACCCACGTGTGTCCTGCTTGCACCGTGCACCGTGTGTATGTGCCATAGCTCTCTCCGGCTGCTCAGCCCAGAGTTGCAGCTCAACTAACGCCAGAAGTTGCATACCGCCTCTCTACTATCCAGAACCGGTCGACGACATCTCATTAACTATTCAAGCCGAACGGTCAAGTTTGCAAAGAAACGACCGTTTTGCGCGTCACAGATGCACCGAATGGTTTAACTTCGTCGGCCGTGGGGATGCACTCGGGGAATATTTTTCCGTGAGATGGCTCATTCTTTTGCATTTTCCTGATCCATTACGGAACTATCCATGCTAAAAGTTTTAGAGATTTGGTGGAGAAGGATGTCCTAGTCGCTAAGTGAATTTCAATTCCTTGACTAGTTTTACTTAGTCATTAGCGTGATGAAGCATGTAATCAAAATGCAGTATTAAATACATTCGACGACCGTTTTCGCCGAAGGCTGCTTTTGTATGTGTAAAATAAGTATTGCATGGTGCATTTCCTTTAGGTAGGTACATAAACCATCTCAGCTCAGCAGCCAGAAAACCCAAAGCTGTGTAATTTGCGCTTTGTAAATTTCCATTACCCTGTCGAATTTCAATTGGTAACACTGCCGGAGTTCTGACGGAATGTTATTCCCCCACCCGCCGTCCGGTTCCAGTGCAGCCGTTCTTCGTGCGTCGCCCCGAGTCGTCGCGGGGCCTGGCCGGCGGCTCGCTGGTACTGGTCTGTGACGTATCCGGCGTGCCCCGGCCTCGTGTCCACTGGCGACGGCTAGACGGGGCCCTGCCCGTCGGTAGGCTCCACTACACAGAGGTAGGTTCGGGTGCAGCGGCCGGTCGGGTGCAGCGGCCCGGCTAATGTGGCACGCCAGTTTCACTGAGAGATAGGCTGTGCCGCAGCGCATCGGCGTTGGGCGGGACAGCCTATGCGTAAGGGTGGTTGATATGGACGGCGCACATGCTTTCGATTTTATCAGGCTGAGCGCTCGTACTGGACATTTCAGTGCATTGGCATGTTTATATGTGTAATTTCAGACTTGGCTTCATCTGTAAAAGTGACAACTCCTGTTGCTAATGAGCCATTGAGCACAAAAGCAAGATGGCTATGAGCACAAAAGTGATATAGTCCACCAAAATGCTTCACATTCAAACTGCACCGAAATAACGCACTGATGCTACGGCATTAAGCGCTATGACGTTGCTGAGATCACCAGTGCTGATATTTCCTTTTTATCTTTAGATACTTTACAGAATGCATTGGAAGGGGGCCAGGGGCAAAACATACCCAGTCCCAATCCTCTTGTCACCTTTTGACATCACAAAGCCAAGTATTTGTTTCAACTCAAAATGAGTTATGATAAAGCCCTTCTAACAAAAGCAGAGATATGTCTGTATACTGCAATATTGCGTCATCACCAAGTTTTGGCACTCCAAAAGGTTATAGTCAAACTTCAGACGGAGAGTTTCTGATGCACCGATCGATAATGCGGGCCGGTCCGTCCCCACGGAGTGCTATGGGGGAAAGTCAATCGCTAATCTGAATCAAGAGTTTCCCAATATCCGAGACACTTCCGGCTAGTCGACCTACGCTCGGCGGCAAGTTAGGATATTGTCAAGAATTGACATCGGCTGATGTACGCGCATATTTTTGAAGCCTTGCCAACCACCCTAAAGAAAAGACGGGTTCACACGACGATGTGTTGATTTGCAAAAAAAGAACATAATTGGTTTTTACTGGTTTGGATGGTTGGCATGAGTGAAGACATGATAGTCAAAATTGATGTGAAAATGATCAATATCATGCCAAAAATTTTAACGGTTCTTTAGTTTACCAAAGAGAAACAAAAGAACTGATGACCTGATGATGACAATGTTGTCGAAATTGTCTCTTTTGTTTTCTTTGGTAAACTAAAGAACCAATACAATTTTTGACATGTTTATTGATCATTATTTTCACATCAATAATTGGTTTTGAGCCAACCATTTATAATCACCAACATTTTGTGCTGTTGTCAGGAGAACAGTATGCGGATTGACCACCTGCGGAGCTCGGACGCCGGTCTCTACATCTGTGAGGCGGAGAACGGCGTGGGTCGGGTCACTGCGAACGTCACGGTCACCATACAGGGTACGGTCGGTAGAATATTGTCGAATCTTATTAGATCTTTGCGAGTCTTGGACACGGTCATACGGACAGTATGGTTGCCAGGTCATGGCATCATTGTTTTGATAGTATTTCTCTTAGAATACGGTAGTTCAGTTGACGTTTATTTTGCGCCAGATGCCAGAAGAACAACAAATACGGGCAATCGATGATATTGCCCATTTGTCATTTATCATCCGTTTACCAACATACTTTTTCTGTCAACATATGTTTCTCTCCCATAGAGGCTCCAACCATCGACATGCCGTCTGAGGCAGTTGCCACTGTCGGGGGACATATGGCGGTACAGTGTCACGTGCGAGGTCAGCCGACTCCTCGTGCCATCTGGTGGAGGGAGACCGAGTTCGAACCTCTTCTGGCCGACCAGGTGAGACGTTGCATTCCGGAAATTTCGCGCATAAAATGAATTTCTTTCTATCGACCTAATACAGATACGCGCATCGAAATACAAGCTTTCCATCTTATTATGAAAGATAAAACGCTTTCCTAAGATGTTAAAGGGACCCTCCCACCTTCAAAAAAGTTAATGAATTGGCATGAAAGTGATGTCGCTCGGTTCAGAAAGAGCAAAAACGAATATCTACCAAATTTCATCGAAAAATAATCGCCGGTTTTCAAGATATTAGACTTTTACTTTTGTTTACTTTTTGGGATCTCCGCTGTTCCTAGCGACTTTATTTGAAAGTGCGGCATTTGTTGCGCGCAAAGCAGCATATACCACCTCGTGCTACAAAACGCTTTAGTCAAACATTTAACGGACGTTCGAAAGCCTGATGACGTCATCAGATTCCCGTAATGGTTAAGAGATAGGGACCACGCTGGTCCCACCCTGCAAGTAAAGGGAAGAAATTTCTTGAACACCATAAAGCTGCGGGGGTTGCGACCAGGATAAATGGTGGTTTCTGAGCCTGGCCGCAAACTTGGCTATCTCAACTCAAAACTAATGTTAAGGTGGGAGGGTCCCTTTAACATTATCCATCATTCATTACTCTTGCCAGATTTCCCAACTCACAATCTTCTATCTGCCAGGAGCGGGGGCGCCTGTCGACTTCTGTGCAGCACGAGCTGTATATCGCGCCGGTGACCGCCGACGACCTCGGCTGGTGGGTGTGCGGTGCCACAAACGCAGCTGGTTCGGTCACCGGCCGGGTCCTTCTGGCCGACTCAGAGCGACCGCCGCGCCGACGCGGAGCGCCCGCGCCAGAGGTGACGGAACGCTCCGACCTTGACCGTGACCTGGTCCACCTGGCAGAGCTGCAGGTTGTCAGACCCGACTCCGTGCGCATCACCTGGAAGGTGGGTTAGGCATTTCTTTGGCGAGGGAACAGAATTGATTTTTATGCAAATCAATTTGTCTCGTTCCTCTTCCCAACAAAAACTCGCTGACTTAATACTCAGTGGTTCCTATTGACTTATATAAAGCTTTCCAAATCATTTGGTTAGATGCCTTTTCTTCAACTTCACCGATACTCATTCAAACTGGCTGCAATTACGGGCATTGAACACCAATGTATCACGACTGGCAAAGTCGCATTGAAGACTTGAATACTCACCGTTCCGTGCTTCCATCCTCAGGATACTGAAATCCCTCTCCTCCACGCCGTAACCCCCTTCCGGGCTGGACAGGCAACTTTATCTCATGCGGGCTGCTCCCTTGGAGCGGCACCGCTGCTCCCGAGGGAGCGCACCCCGTAGCCGGGTGCAGTGAGTGCCTTGGGGCTGGGTGGCCTGTCCTCTGGACGGGCTCAGCCCCGGCGACTCACTAGGGTGCCTGCCCAGACCAATGTCTCCCCCTAATTCCTATCATCCTTCCGGCTCTGCAATGGTCTTGTCGACCGAAAGGGCCTAACCCAACAAAACAAACAAACAAACTTGAATACTTATCAATATTCCTGTAATAACTTGTGACTCCCTGCACCCAGGTCTCCAACACCAGCCCGGTGGACGGTTTCTACATCTGCCTGATATCTGGCTCTGTGGCCGGACGCGGCGGGGACGGGACCGGGGCGCCGGGCCGGGTGGTTCGCGGTGCTCCGGTGCTGCCCGGCCGGCCGGGCCCCGTCCTGCAGCGTGTTCCGGTGCTGAACGGGGGAGCAGATAGCTACGTGCTGACTCGCCTGAGCGCCGGCAGGGCCTATGAGGTGTTCCTCGTGCCCTTTCGACAGGGCCTCGAGGGTCGTCTGAGCAACCTACAGCACGTGCAGATGCCAGAGACCGGTAAGCACATCAGACGCTTCACCCTCGCTGCTTGATGAAGTCGGTCTCGGCCTAACTGTCGGTGTAACAGTCAAATTAATATCTTACATTGAGTATAAAAAGCAATTCCTTTAGACCCTCATTCCACATCTATCAGGGAGTTCCATTTTCCTACCATAAGTGAGCAACAATGTCCCGGAGATCCCCTCCTGCAGCGGTACACCGCTATCCACTCTCCCTCATCATTTATTATCCATAGCTATCTTATCCGATTAGTGCGTAATTCGCCCACCGGCTGTCCGGCGCTGCGCTCCGGCCGCGGCGACCCACGCTCTATGATTGTCCGACTCTCCCCCCTCGACCGGCCACCCCTGACGACACCGCTGGGACACGATGCAGCCATGTTTTCGCGGCACACGTCAGTCGGGGTGGCAGTGTGTCTGCGTTATGTCGGCCGCACGCGCTACTGACCGCCGCGCCGCGCCGCTGCTTGTAGACGTTCAGAGGGTAGGGCGGCGAGACGGACCACGGGTGCTGGTAAAATGATGCGTATGGAAAGCACGCCCCAAGGCCCAATCTGCCAATGACAGACACTGGGTGTTATGAGACTGGATAGGCATTGTAATTTTCTGAGATATTCAGCCGTGTAGGAACTATGGGTTGTTTTGGTCCAGTGATGCAATTATTGGCTGGTCTAATGATGAAACACAATTCCGAAATCGATAGTAATCTTTTAATGTAGGTCTGCGAGCCGCTATGCGACACCATTATTTCAACTTAAAGGCACCAGAAAACTGCGGGAAATAGGTGTCTTTGATTTCAACTGGTTATATGAGTACCAACCGACGACATAACAGAAATACCTGCTGTTTCGAATTGTTTTGCTATCGGAGCCAGGCTACGTTTTACCATAAAACACTTAGCACGCTACTGCTGCTCGAATAGCTATCTGCAAAGTGCAAAGTGGCCGGCCGTGTGCTGTGCACACCAAGCGACGCCATTTAGGCGCCGACCGAACAAACTTGTGCCGCCACCATCCAACCCCGCTGGCTTCTGACGTTGCCGGTGGCTCGGACGCGCCATCCATTCTGCCGTGAGCCCCGGCTCAGGCCGACTGGCACGGTGTAGATCACTGAGACCGTCAGCCGCGGCGCACGGCTGGCTACCCGTGGAGCCACGGCCCGGTCAGGGGGAACAGACGGTGGGAATGGCAGCTCAGCCGCGCCACCGGCCAGGAACGGATTGCAGAAATGGCAACTCAGCCGCGGGACGGGCCAGGGAACGGATTGTAGGAATGGCGAGCTTAGTCAAAGAGATGAATCAAAGAGATGAAAGGCCAGAGGCGTTGGAGAGACATTGAGAATGACGGTCCGGCTGGATTTAAGATCATACCACAGGGCCAGGCTGGGTACATGACCCTAGTAAAGTACGCCATTTGTAAGCCGGCGAGTTAGAGGATAACTGATGGCCTGAGCGATGAGAGTAATCTCGTTGGCAATAAGTCAACTTTCGGAGTTTATTTCTCCTTCTCGTCACGTTAAACTCCATGTGTTCGCGATAATTTGACGGCATATGTTATCCAGCTACAAATATCTGTCACGATCTGATCGCAGTCCATCTTCTTGCAGCGCCCTCGGCGGCTCCGAACGACCTCCAACTATCAACTGACGGTGACAGCACCCTGATCACCTGGTCGGGGCTGGCAGACAGCGACACCAACGGAGTGGTGCGCGGCTACAGCGTGCTGGTGCTCTCGGCGGACCCTACCTCGGGCCGGCCGCAGCAGAGGCTATTCAACACCAGCGCACCGTTTGCACGGCTGGCCGGCCAACCCGACCTCCTACGGGTCCGTGTGGCCGCGTTCACCGCCGCGGGCGTCGGCCCGTACTCGGCCTGGGTCGGCCCGGTGCAGGGGTGGCCGACCAGCGCGCCGCCGCCGGCCACTGCCGCCGTGCCGTTCGGCGGGCCGCCCGGCGGCGGGTCGGCGCCCCCTGCAGCGCTGGTGGCTGCCCTCGGTGCCCTGTGCCTGGCGGCCCTGGGGGCAGCGCTGCTTACCCTGCACTGCCGCCGGCTCAGAGCGAAACAGCAACGCCTTGACATGGCCGCCAGTAAGTAATGCTTTACATAGAATTGCGATTATACCTAAAACGGTAAAATTTATAGGGTGAAGATTGTGAAACTATTTATCACCTCTGGCTCTTAACGTCAATTATGAGGATTCTACCTCTTTGACATTTTCTTTAGATCTGTTGCGTCTAAAATTGACCAAATCCTTTACATCAAGACCGTTCAAAATTCAATCCCTGGCTTTCAAGCTATCACGAGACGCCACCTTCATCGAATATTCATGGACGGATTTCCTCTATTTTATCACCAAGCTAAAAAGCTGAAATGAAGCGCATCATAGCTGATCCATCCGCCAGCGAATGTGCGCGTGTTCCGATTCCCAATCAGTTCTCATATGATGGCCCCATCTGGAACGTTCGATCACATCAGGCACAGACTTCTCTATATATATCTTCTTCTCTTCTTCGTCTTCTCTATATAGAGAAGTCTGTGCATCAGGCTTTATCGACCCATCAGCCTTCGAACGGCATCTGCCAGTATTTTGGCGGAACGGCGACTTCAGATCCGGATGGGAAAGTTTTGATATTCTCATATGCACCTGAGGCGTTCCATTGAAAATGGTGAATGTGATTGTGTCATGAGTCACCCGATAAGAGAGTCTAATTCAGACAGCGTCCGACGCGCGAGGCTCGTAGGTAAACCGTTTAGTTATCGGTCACCACGTCGAAATCACCCTTAGGACCAGACATGAGATCCGTCACTTATTTACGAAATCAGATGATAAACCATCTAATCGTAATGAGATGAAAAGATCATCAGATCATTTGCTATCACAGACCGTCTGAACGTTATTCCTTTAACTTTATTCAACTTTATTTCTGTACATTGTCCATGCCCATAATCATGAATAAACGACAAACAAATAAATCCCGCATCCCTTCTCTCTCGACAGCCATGTACGCTGACGTCAAGCTACCGGTGATCGCTCGCGAGCCGCGGCCGGACGTCCTGACGCGGAACACTCTGTGGTTGCGCGACGACCTGTTCTTGACGAGTCTCGGCAACGCGCAGAGGTCAGCTCAGTCCCGTGAAAGGCGTGATGAGCTACAGAACAAGCCACATGATCAGCTTGGCGACGTGAGCCTAAAAGGACTCGCAGAAGGCGGACCAGAGGCGGCGCAGACCAAGTTGGGACAAGAGTGTCATATCTATGTGAACGAGCTGCCCTGCTCGTCCGGTCCAAGTTCTAAAGAAGTTCTGCGAGTGAGGAGGGCTCCTTCGCGGGGTAGGGAGTCGGTGGAGTTGATGACCTCGGGTCAGATCATGACCTCGGGCCTGGAGTCCGAGACAGAGTCGGAACTGGAGCGACTGACGAGAAGAGTACGGAGTCTTCGACCACGGGTGAGAAAATAGACGGTAAAATAGACGGTAGGCGATGGTGTTGCAGAAACATTGATATAGGTAGCCATGAACAAAGGATAAATAGAATACCAGTAGGTAGACGAAGGACGGGCAGCCGGTGTTGTAAGCGTTTGTGCAAAAGTAATATTCAGGCATTGAAAGGACCGATAAGTAGTTGCAATGTTAACATACAATACAGCATAAACATGTGTTTGTGTATGCCTGATCTGACTGACGCGTCCTGCGCCGATTCTCAGGCCGGCCGGTCACTCTCGTCAGACGGTACCAGCGGCCCTTCGGTGCCGTCCCGCGCCAGCCGTCCCTCGCTGCGACTGCGACACGATCGCCGCGGTCGCGCGCCACACTCGCCGCAGCTGAGCGGCGGCACGTATCAAGAATGCTGCTGTTACGAGTGTGATTATCAACCTCCGCCGCTACCCCCGGGTACGTGACAAAACGTGGGTTATTACGAAAGGCCTATCAGAGTTTTGTCTTCTACTAAAAAAAAAAAAAAAATGGTGATCGATTGAGACAAGCCATCACTTATTGATTATTCATATAGCACACGCGACGCGGCGTTGCATTTACCATTTGACGGCTGCCATCAGTTGTATAAAAATAAAGATGCAAGTTGTGTGCGTAGATAAGTAGCTACCTACATTTAACTGGAAACTTCCTTTCTTCCCAGACTCGAGTTACGACAGCTCCAGCAGTGACTTCACCACCCTGCCTGACCTGATGACTCGCAGCGCGCCGGTGCGAAGCGCCCAGTTCCAGCCCCCGCACCCACTGGCGCCACCTGCTGCCGACCGCGTCGCACACTCGTTCCCGGCCGGCGCAAAAGATGGCGCCACGCTCGCGACGCTCGGCGTGAACCCATCGCGTCGCGCCTCGAGCGATGACGTCGGCAGCGCGAGCGACAGCGGTTCGTCACTGTACGCCGAGACAGAGCTGAACGACGCGCCGCGACACAACGCCGAGAGTGACGTCAGCAGCGACGTGACGTCATCACAGGTCTGTCAGGTGACGTCGAAATGGGATAGGTCACTTGCGGGTGTTAAGGTCAGCGTCATGGCAGGAAGTGATAACTGAGTTTAAAGGTCATCCTCGGTAAGGATGAATATAAAACAATTCGGCTTCTTTTGTTTTGTTTGTTTTGTTTTGTTGGGTTAGGCCCTTTCGGTCTAATGAGACCATTTCAGAGCCGGGAGGATGATAGGATATAGGAGACATTGGTCTGGGCAGGCACCCTAGTGAGCCACCGGGACTGAGCCCGTCCAGAGGACAGGCCACCCAGCCCCAAGGTACTCACTGCACCCGGCTACGGGGTGCGCTCCCTCGGGAGCAACGGTGCCGTTCCAAGGGAGCAGCCCGCATGAGATAAAGTTGCCTGTCCAGCCCGGAGGGAGGTGGCGGCGTGGAGGAGAAGGATTTCAGTATCCTGAGGATAGAAGCACGGAACGGTAATTCGGCTGACGGCTTCCTATTTGCCTTGCCTTTACCTTCCACGAAGTATGCCGAATGTTGCCTTAAATAGGTATCGCGCATTTCAAATCGCATATGCTTATCATCAACCTATCATTAAATGTTTCTTGGCGTAAGCCTTATTTTGTGTTGCAGCATAAACTCTCAATCAGCAAGCCGCCGATATCAAGCAACTCTGATGCCGAGAACAACTCGTCCGAGACGACACAAACCTTCATCTGTGCTCCGGGCGACAGTTTGGAAAACTGCGACTTACCAAAGTCGCCGATAGATGTCGGCTCCGGCGAATCGCTCCGTTCCCTCAACAATGGGTGTACGGATCAGTACAGCCCGTAGATGTGTACATGTTGTAAATGTATGCAAACTCATTGACGGCCAATGCTGTAATGCTTGTGCTAGCGAGCTTTGAAGAACGTCAAACGTTCTGACAATCTGAGGTCAGCTTACCGTTTGGCGGTAACGAGTGAACTGAAAACTGAACATTATCGCCAGCCAGGGAAGTACGGGGACCCGCAGTTGCTTCTGTACACGAACCCCAACTCTAGCCGTCTGTCCTGTCCAGTAACAACCGATTACATTGATATCGACTACCGGTCCCTGTACAAGAGCAGCTGAGGTTTTCTGTACGTGCCCTCTGACAGCTTATCGTTGTTCCCTGTGAGGGTGCTGGGACAATTTACTCAGGGTCGCTGTACATACAGTAGCAACTGCGGGTCCCCAATCATATCCTACGTAGGTTTAGCAGTCGATACAGATCGTGAAAGGCATATCAGTGTACGATTGTGGGATCTCCTCTGATGGTACCGGGAGGTGTAGCATTGGAATAATTGAAGTGAGTTGTAAACTGAGGGTCGGTTGGGCCAAGATTACTGTTCCGTTGGGCGACTGTATAATGTAATGGTTACGTCCGGTCTGAAGCGATGTGTGTTCTGTCTGTATCAGGTATGGACTGTGCTTGAGGAAGGCCACCGAAGCATTTCTATCGATGTGCTGTGCAATATAAAATAACTCAAAGCCATTGCTTTATTTTAATCACGTGTTTACACACTGTAACCACAAGAGGAGTGCGAACTACCTGTTTGTAATTGGCACATTTTTAACCTAGTATCTCCTCACCAATTATTACATCCCAGCAGTATCAGTAAATTGAAACATTGCCTCGTTAAACGCGCTGTCAGTCGGTGCTTTCCCGTGCTCGCCCACCCGGCGAACTCCAACCGAACCTTCTCAGCTCTCCTCTAAACGGTATCACTGAGCGTTTCCCTCCCCCTCCCCCACATCAAGAAGACGACTTGACTCGGAACCAGTGAGGGTCCCTCTCAGAATTTTCATTTCTCAGCCAGGCATTCGGTTTACGACGTTCATCACCACCCCTCCCAGACGAGCAGCGTCCTGAGCTCCAGTAGCGTACCTTTATCACCAGGAAGACGCGTCCGGAATTGAAATCAAGCGAAATCTACGCCGATTGCAATAATGTCGGGCCTGGATGGGGTTCAATCTTCTTTCCCTTCTGACGAGGTCGATAGGGGAGGATAAACGATGCAGAGGGAGCAGCAGTCGGGAAAAACGTCATAGAATCGAGCTAGACTGATAGCGTTGAAGCAGCGAGCCGCATTGAGTAGCAGGCGTCTTCCCTACGTAACTAAACCGGAGCGTTTTCCCCACGTAACTTTACTTTTCACCACATCAAACAGAACCACGGCGTCCTTGTAAACCTTGGTCGCACATTCGAACAGCATCCCGCAATAATATACGGCCTTGCCCGCAATGTCACCCTGGAGCTGAGCAATTGGGACAGTAAAAATGGGAGAGTGGAAATGGAATAACCAGGACCCCAGTGAGATGTACTTTGTGTGTTAGCTATCACGTAGTGCAAGCTATCGCCGATCGCGTGCGTTACCGATTGCATCCATCTATCTATAGCAGTCGGGAATGAAATATATGCACTGAACAGTGAACTTGAACAGCGCAAATACGCTTCATAAAAGACGCAAATAAAACGGGTCGTCATTGTGTGTATTACGCAACGCACAAGTAGAAAAATACAAACTCTGAAAGTCGTCACGCTGAAACTGGCTAGCCCACACACTCACCAAATGTACAAGACCTCTTTACAGACACACCCATCCAGGACGTACCCTCCATAGCTCAAACACTCCCACTCGTTTTGACAAAAGCGGCAGACCACTCACCCAACTCCCAACCTGAGAGACGCACCACGCAAATAAATAACCCGTCTCATCGGGAGACAGGACGCACACAATGTCACGCACCGACCACAAGAGTTGTACAGCCAATACCTGCCGTGGGGTAACTACGTAATGTGGGTACTTTGGATGGTGCAAAACCGATCAACGGTGCCAATCAACAGCTACGGATAATGGTGAGCGAAACATGAAAATGTGCATGATATCTGAGCTAGAGACAGCGTACAGTCGCAAAACTTATCGAGATACAACGTGGTCAACTCAAAGCACAAATCAGATCTAAAGATGCTTTGTGGAAGTGTGGCGTACAAAACGATAAACGGTGAAAGGTAACAGCTAAACTAAGCCAAGTGGGTTTTTACGTGTAACGCAATGGATGTAAAACAACCCAACACACTACGCCAAGTATATGCCAAAACGTCGAGAAATGGGGAAAAACTATCGAACAAGGTACAAAATGCGAAAAACAACGGTGAGAAGGGATGATAATGCAGTTGCACAAAACAGCCGAGGCGGTATCCTATGCCATGAAAGCAAACTAATCGGTGTGCTCTGCAGTTCTGCACCAAACGGAGCAGCCAATCCACCGCCATTCCCTTTCAAACTTCTAGGGATAAAGGGTGACGGCTTTCGCTAAACCCGCTGACCGCGCTGGGGTCCCAGACTCGCACGAGTCCTAACTCAAGCCCTCGGGGTCAGGACCCCTAGAATCCCCACTAGGGACTTTCGGCGACGTCTGTACAGCGTCCCACACCGTTTGGACGGCATTTCGGCAGTGAAAGCGGCTCTGGTGCTAGTGGAGCTCAGGTGGTGTCCACGCCTGTGTGCGCTAAAAGTCAGCTCAGCGGACACCACTGCGTGGCGAATGCGTGACTTCTGCCTACAGTGCGGCTTGTTACCAGCGGAAGCACAGTGGCGGCTCCGGTTGGCGCCCCCTGGGCCAGCACCGACAGTCCACCGCTGACCGGACGGGGAGCAAGATGTAGGTGGCATTCGCGCAATCGCGACCCAGTCTTCGACAAGTGTAGGTAGTCGGCAGGCCTGCTGCCGTAGCGTGTAGAAACACCCAAGAACGCCCTTCGACACGTCCGTCCCCTCAGGAAGCTCCACCGCACCGACATAGTCTGCCGTGCCCTCAGCGAACGCCCCCTGCTGCCCTGCAGCATGTCGGGGCCAGACGCTGCATGCCGGAATCGACATCATCCGTCCCAAAGAGAGTCAGAGCCTCTACGAAACCTAGCTCGCCACCCCAGCTCCTAACCCTACAAAATCCCTCCCCACATCATGTGAAAATCCTTCCACAGACCCTATGAAAACCTACCTGTACAAAAACGTCACTTCGGCTTCGGCCGAAGCGCGAGCGGCATCTCTACAGGCTACCGACCGCGCTGCGTGCGGTGCCACGTCGCGCCAGCGCCAGCCACAACGCACGAACGTAGTAAGAGCTCACGCGCCCGTAGCTCACGCGCACGTAGCTCACGCGCACGTAGCTCACGCGCACGTAGCTCACGCGCACGTAGCTCACGCGCCACTTAGCTCACGCGGACGTCATGTCCATGGGCTCAGGCTCGTCGTCCAGCTGGTCGCAGGTGCGTTTGGCGCGGCATCGTCCGCTGCTGCCGTGGCCGGCCAGGAAGGCCTTTTCAGCCCGGCAGATGGGCTCGTACTCGTGCAGTTGACGCACTAAGTCGGGACTGAGCCGGACGCAGTCACGGCGTGCCGTCACCACCCCGCTGGCAGCGCTGCCGGCGGACATGGGGAGGTCAGGGGACCTGTCGGTGGAGGGGGAGAGGTCAGGGGACCTGTCCGTGGAAGGGGAGGTCAGAGGGCCTGTCGGCGGACGGAAAGGGAGAGGTCAGAGGGTCTGCCGGTGGAGGGGGAGAGGTCAGAGGACCTGTCGGTAGAAGGGAAGGTCAGGGGGTCTGCCGGCGGACGGTGGAAGGAGAGGTCAGGGGACCTGTCGGTGGAAGGAGAGGTCAGGGGGTCTGCCGGTGGAGGGGGAGGTCAGGGGGTCTGTCGGCGGAGGGGGAGGTCAGGGGACCTGCCGGTGGAGCGGGAGGTCAGGGGGTCTGTCGGTGGAGCGGGAGGTCAGGGGGTCTGTCGGTGGAAGGGGAGGTCAGGGGGTCTGTCGGCGGAGGGGGAGGTCAGGGGACCTGCCGGTGGAGCGGGAGGTCAGGGGGTCTGTCGGGGGAGGGGGAGAGGTCAGGGGGTCTGACGGTGGAGGGGGAGGTCAGGGGGTCTGTTGGTGGAAGGGGAGGTCAGGGGACCTGTCGGTGGAAGGGGAGGTCAGGGGACCTGTCGGTGGAGGGGGAGGTCAGGGGTCTGTCGGTGGAGGGGGAGGTCAGGGGGCCTGCCGGTGGAGCGGGAGGTCGGGGGGTCTGTCGGTGGAGCGGAGGGTCAGGGGACCTGTCGGTGGAAGGGGAGAGGTCAGGGGGCCTGCCGGTGGAGCGGGAGGTCGGGGGGTCTGTCGGTGGAAGGGAAGGTCAGGGGGTCTTTCGGTGGAGCGGGAGGTCAGGGGGTCTGTCGGTGGAGCGGGAGAGGTCAGGGGACGTCAGTGGAAAGGGAGGTCAGGGGACCTGTCGGCGGAGGGGGAGGTCAGAGGTTCTGTCGGTGAACAGAGGGGAGAGGAGGTCACAAGGACTGCCAGTAGCGCTGCAGGTGGTCGAAGAGGAGGTGAGAGTGAATGATACATATTACGTAAGGAAAGCCACGCTTATTAGCACCAATCAAGCACCAAAAAAGCAGATAATAATGACACTCCCATAATTAGAAAGAAGATGTGCCCCAGGTCGGAGAAACGAGTGAGCTATTTTGTCCCGGCCATATCGCCTAAATCATTAGGTGCGCAATAGGTAATATACAAAAATGTAATGATAATGTATACATACACAAGGTGCCACAGATCGACATTGACAGCCGACCATCAATCTTTAGAGTGTAGCGTATAAATATTTAAGCATCGACCTGCCAGTTTTATAGCATTACCCCCATGGAGTAGGAAACGAGAGTACCCAGCACACATGCGACAATCCCTCCCAGCCTAGCCCACCTCCACCTCCCCCCACCACACCTCCCTACTCACGAGAGATTGAGCGAGAGCCTGCGCATCACGTAGGCCACAATGAGCGCGGCGGAGAGCGAGACGCCCAGGTTGCCGTGCACCAGCACCCGTCCGCCGGAGCACAGTGCGTCGTCAAGGAAGGCGGTGACGCGCGGAACGTGCGAGAGGACCCACAGTTCGGGCGACTCGGCCAGCTCCACCTCCAGGTACCTGGACGGAGAAAGGGGTGTGGTTAATGACGCTAGTCTTGTTCAGCTATATAAACCTGGCTAGAGATGGGAAGAAGAATGTGGAGCTTTTGAGTCACGAGTTGTACTTAGAACTTTAGGTAGAAAACCATGAGAAAGCATTAACTGAAACTATGAAATATCATCACTCCTCCAAAGGCATCCTGGTCAGAGGAGCATCATAAGGCTCCGTTCCATGTAAGAGGGGCGGAATACGTTTTTCATTCATTTTCTCGCTCCGCCCAATCAGCCTAGAGAACCTACCTGCTTTAAACATTGTCACACTGGTTGAGACCACAATATCCCAACATCCCAATGATACTCAGCCCCCACGGCCCACTCCCGTCTCCCACACCCACTCACTGGAACTGGTTGGGAAAGTTGGGCCGAATCAGGTGCGCCTCCACGCTCCGTCTGACACAGACGATGTGTGTGATGCCCGTCTGCTGGAGCCGTTCCAACTGTGGATGCAAGAGAGCTGTAAGCGGTGTTCGGGCCGGGCTAGGCGTGGTAACGGTGCGCAGTTGTCGGGCTGGGCTAAATTTAGTGAAATTACGTCGACGGTCGAGAGCATCTGGGCGTTCAAGAGAATAGGTGTATGATCATATGATACATGTATATCATATGATATATCCATAGGTAACATGAATCATGTTTCATCATTAAATCATGAATTCATGTTATTTATGATATATCATATGTACAATGATATGCATGTGATGATACACAAATCAGATGATATAGGCACAAGGAAACCATTTAAGTGTTGAGAGAGTTGCTGTGAGCAAACAATTTGAGGCGCCACTGTTCACAACAAATAAACTTATAAATAAAAAAAAAAATCAGTTGAAAACTGAGGTCGTTTTTTGTCACGAACAACTAAAAATAAGGTAAAATTTGCACACACACCAATGATCAGCCCCCGTAGCACAAGGGTGCACCTCAAAATCTCACCTGATTCCGGCTGGCAGAGCTGTACGGTCCGAGGTAGAGGCCCGGCAGGATTTCCTGCATCTCGCGGCGCATTTCATAGGTCCACTGGAGCGGCGCCAGTGGCTTGGTGGGCGGCCGGCACCGCGACGAGTGGTGGTGTGCGTACACCGGCGGCCACATGGCGCCACCAGGGCACAGCGGCGGTCGGCTGACAGGTGCGGCGCTCTGGCACTGAGCGCTGCCTGGATCCCAGCAGATATTAACTCAAAGGCAAGCCACTCAGAAGGTCCCTGTGAATGTATGTTGATTGTCAGGCATCTCTTCTAACATATTAACTGAAAGTATTGACTCAAAAAATTCACATACTGCTATTCGATATTTCTTAACCCTTGTCTGTATTGATGTTTTGCCAGCTGCGAACGTAAAAGGGGGAGGGCCCGTTGGATCCCCCTCTTGCCGTTTCGCCCCTGATCGAGCTAGAGCTTCGCGGAAAAAATGGACATGTTGCCCGTGACAAGAGGAAGCCAATGATACACAATTTTAAGGTTCTAGGTCATTGGTTGACCTTCCAGGTCAGGTCAATAACCGAAAAGTCGGGAAAATCGGGGCCTGTTAGAACGTCGAAAAGTGTGGCTGCTGTGGTTTTTTTTCGGGGTGCCGACCACGAATATCATATACAGGGTCCGGCAAGAGTCTTGACGTAGTCTTAAAATCGTTCCATTCCTCAAGCCATTGTAAATAAAAAAAGTTGTTCAGTGCTCAATCTATTGTCCACGGACAAGCAAACACTTGCGAACACGGTTCGGCATACTGGCCACGAGATTGGAGAGCACAGACGGCTGGATTCGTGACCACGCAGACTTGAGTTGCGTCTCCAGCTGCGCGAGGTTGGTTGCTGGCTTCTGTTTGTCGAGGTCTTGCTGGACGATCGCCCACAGCTCTTCAATGGGATTTAGGTCGGAACTGTTCCCCGGCCACTCCTCCTTCGCCCAGAAGTGCGGCAGGTTGTCTCAGCACCACTGCTGGGCTGTGGCAGAGTGATGCGCTGGAGCCCCTTCCTGCATTAAGATGGCTTTCGACCTCTCAGCCACCATCCGTCGCTTCAGAACAGAGCCGTTTCTGGGAGTTCTGTTGATGGGAGACAGGCAGGATTCCTCCGAGATGGTCTCCACATAATACTTGGTGTCCACCTTAGTCTTGGGCGGGATGACGTGGAGCAGCTCACTGAGCACTTGATGCGACATCATCCCCCACACCATCAACTTCGCTGGGAATTTGACGGAAGGAGCTGTGGGCACACTGGCTGCGTCGGACGCCCAAATGCGATCATCCTGGCGATTTGGTGGATGTAAAAGCTCGAAGGTGGACTCGTTACTAAACAGTACCTTTTTCCAGTCTTCTTCGGTCCAGTCTTTCCGTTTATTTATCTTTTTATTTTATTTTATTTTATTTTATTTTATTTTATTCGTTTTTTCTGCAGAACTTCATGCGGTCATAGACCTGCTTTTCGGTTAATCTAAGTCTCGTTCGTATTTTGTAGGCTTTTTGGCCCATCTTTTTTCCAGAAGCATCAAATAGACCTGTCGGAGGCTGGATGACTTTTTTTGACTCAGCCGTTGTGTAAGCTTGGTCGCCGATTAATCCCTTTTTCCGACCGCCTTCTTCAGCACGAGCTTGGCCACCATTGACAAGCTGGTCGGACAGCCAGAACGGGGTCTATCAGCCACGGTCCTGTCGGTCTTAAAGTGCTTGCACCACCTTTGCACTGGTCGGAGAGAGGCACCGACATTATTCGCGACCTGACTTTGCGACATTCCCGCTTGAATCATACCGATAGCTCGATTCCTGGGTCTGACATTGTAATATTTGACCATGGTGTTTTCAGCCTTCCTTTCAACTGCTCGCTCGCTACTCAAATGACCTCGCGGCTGGCACAATCAGCCGCTGACCCTAAGGTTATCCGTGGTCTCATACCCCGGGGCACAATAGATGCGCTGACACAATGGCGTTCAAAGCAAAACGCTGGGTGGGGTAAAACGCGCCTGGGAAGACACAGAAACTAGAATACCACATACGACAAGACTTTTGCCGGACCCTGTAAGTTTTGATCAAAGAAGGTGTCTATATGCATTTAGGCCAGGTCGGGTCAGGTCAGGTCACCTGCTGGGTATTCGTAGGTATCAACTGCCTCTGACAGCTTCGTAACATGTTAGGAAGGTACCAAAACTACTTCGTAAATATTCAAATGGTTGCTAAATTCGAATTCAGCTAAAAAAAACTAGCCTAGAAACATGTAAAACTCTAAAAAGTGAGCCGAGATCATCAAAGGTCAATGACCTGACCTGACCTTCAAGTGACCTTGACAACCACCCTAATGCATCAGAGCAACATCATATCACATGCTTCAACGCTTGAAACCACCAAAAGACTGCAAACGTGTGGCTAATGCGAGCCGACAATCGACATATGCCAAATCGCGATTTCGGACAAACACGGTCTCAAAAAGTTGGTCACAGGTCAAAGGTTATTTGGGTCAGGGTCATGAAATTTTAAGGGTTAGGTGTAAAAATGATTAACGCGAGGGTACTGAAAGTTTTGTCGCAATTGGCCGCTTTTTTCTCGAGGAACCCGCGAAAAACCGAGGAGGAGGGCTCCGTTCGACACCCACCCCTATACGGCCGAGGGTTAAAGTACACATGACAGACACGTGTATCTTGAAATGAAAGGAAACATCATGTTTAGCTTAGCTTACCATGAAACATGGCGCACAGCTTAGCAACGGATAGAGCTACAGCGCCGTGGAAAAACGTATTCAATAGCTCCTTCAATGCATTTTCACTAGCATACATATTCCAGATTTGACCCAAGGTCAACACGTTTTGGCCTGCAGGGGCAAAAACAGCCAAAATAGACGTTTTTGTGGAAACAGTTTTTCCGCAATAACTTTTGACTTAGAGCTTGCATAAACTTACTTTTACTGGCATCATGTGTTTGTGTAGACTGTGTATTCTCACCTGGTATTCTCACCTGGTAGGGTTCACCAAGCCTGACAGCCCTAAGGATAGTCAATGCAAGGGAACCCAGGATCACAGGATGCGCCAGTTGAGATAAGAATTCGCGAGTATAGAGGGGTTACATAGCAACTGGAGTTATAGCATCCACATAAATAGCTCATACGATAAAAAACATGTGAATCAAGAATATTTGACACGAAGTTGCTCATCATCAACTACTCCGCAGGCTGGTAGGTACAGTTCGTCACGAATCTCATCGGCCAAGGCCCTCTTAAAGCTAGTTAAGTCAGGTGCGGTCACAACGTTTTCTGGGAGGCTGTTCCAGATGTGTATACATCAGGACTTTGTGGTACTGGTGTATGACACAGTGTATATAAAAAGTGTATGGTATGACTTACCTGGTTGACTTACCTGGTTGGGTTCCTTTTGCGTCCGGGGAGGAAAATGGTGGAGAAAGTGAGAGAGGAAGGTACAAGGAACCCTGCATTTAAGAGACGCGCCAGTCAGTAGGAAGTTTGTGCTGTAGATTATACATGTACAAACTGACTGGAGAAGTGAGTCTCCTTCACAGATTTACAGGAAGTAATTACTTAATGCACAAAAGTTCAGCATGGAGAAATGTTTGGAACTGTCCTAGTTCTAAGTGTAGGTAGAGCTTTCACATTGGGTAAGAGTACAAAGCATCATTGATATCGCGATCTAACATAGATTTAAACGTGTTGACATCGTGAGCACACACAGTTTGAGCGGGGAGGGCATTCCATACAGAAATACACCTTTGAGAGAACGAGCGCTTCCTAATGTCAGTGTTTATGGCAGAGGGAAATATTTTGTGGCAATAGCCTCGTGTACGATTCTGAGGCGGCTGTGGAAATAAATCAGCCGGAGATATACCAGATTTTCCGTTAAAGATTTTCCAGTAGGTACTGTAGAAGATCTGCACGCAGTAGCCTTCCTTGGACGGAATAGAGACGTAGGGATCGTAGACGTTCACCATAGCTCATGGTCTCCAAGCCACAAATACGCTTAGTCCATCGGCGCTGCACTCTTTCTAATAGCCTCAAATCCTGAATAAAACCAGAGTTCCAGACAGGAGAGGCATATTCAAGCACTGGTCGTATGTGAGTGGTGAGCAGGAACACCATGAACTTTGGAGATCGACAAACAGTGGATTTAAGGAAGCTATAGGCCAAAGCGCCAGCTTTATGAGTAGCCATACGGATATGGTCGTGGAATTTCAAGCCAGAATCAACCAGTACACCAAGGTCGGAGGCAGAGTGGACATGAGGAATAGGTTTGCCATCTAGGGTATATGTGGGGCGGACTACATTAGTAAAGGACCTCGAGAAACGGAGGATTGAGCACTTCTTTACATTCATAAACAAGCCCCAAGAAGCAGCAGTAGAGTGAAGTCGATCAATATCTCGCTGGATTACTTCGGAAGTGGCCAGGGATGGGAGGGACCTATCGGGATAATCTACACATGCGTATAACTTCAGGTCGTCGGCAAAGATTTTATAGTTACAAGACAAGTTATATCCAATACTGTTAATATAGATTAAAAAAAGGAGGGGTCCCAGGACTGTCCCCTGGGGGACGCCACTGAGAACTTCTCTGGCACGACTATGGTGACCATCAATACAAACGCTCATCGATCGGTTAGATAGGAACGAGAAAATGACCTGCAAGGTACTGCCCTGGACACCTAAGCACTCAAGCTTGGAGAGGAGGAGACTGTGTACTACAACATCGAAAGCTTTACTAAAATCAAATAAGATTACGTCTACAACACGCCCTTCATCTACATGCTTAGAAACGCTGTCATAGACTAGTAGAAGCTGGTCAGAAGTGGATCTCATGGCTCGAAAACCAAACTGATGCGGAGAGAGGATCATGTGGGATTCAAGGTAATCAGTTAGGTGTTGGCAGAGGAGTCGCTCAAAGGTCTTGCAGCAAACGGAGGTGAGGCTAATCGGGCGGTAGTTTAGAGGATCGTACCTTGCGCCCTTCTTAAATATAGGGATAACCATGGATGACATCCAGTCACTGGGTAGCTGACCTTCGTGGATGGCACGAGAAAATATCAAATGAAGGGGATACGCTAGTTGCGGGGCACAACTCTTCAGCAGTAATGGGTTGATATCATCAGGTCCCATAGCAGAATTACCATCAAGTGATTTCAGTACCTTAAGAACATGCTCCACTGGGAAAGTGATATTATCAATGATTCCCTCAAAATGTTGATGCGGAGAAGGGTTCCTCGGAGTCTTTGGTAAAAACAGACGAGAATGAGGAGGCAAACGCCTCAACCATTTCTTCGGGAGAATCGGTAAGGCGACCAGAGCTGAGCAAAATAGGACCGACCGCAGGTCGGAGGTCCGACCTTTTTATTCCGGATGTACGAATGGAGAAGCTTTGGGTTATTCTTGGAAGTCATAAGATAATGACTTCCAAGGATATAAACATAATAAACATAAGATTTTCCTCATATGCAGCTTGGCATGAGGCCGTGAAACTTCTAAACTGGCTGTTGATCAAGCGGAATGAGGCATATGCAGAGACAGAGTTAGGGGAACGCCTGCCATACTCGCTCCTGGTCTTCTTATAACGTTGCCAAGCGGTGTGCCTTCGATCGATAAGACTAGAAGGAGGCTTCTTCATCCAGGGAGGTCGTTGTTTGGGATCAGATGTTTTATCTGGTACAAATATGTCGACCAGGCTGTGCACAATGCCCAGAAAACGCTTATAAGATTTATCAGCGCTGAGATAGGAAAACTCATAATCCCAGTCAACTTGCTCAAGACTACTTGCTATGGCATGGTAATTTCCTTTATGCCAATGTTTGTGAGGTCTGTTCACAATCTTATTACAATCGAGGGTTTCAGTATCAGCAAAGGTATACTCAAACACAACTGGGGAGTGGTCGCACCCAGGCAGAGGAGGGATGACTTCCGTCAGCCCTACCCTATCAGTTTCTGAAGTCAGGACAAGATCTAGTATGTTACCAGATTGGGGATAGGTAGGCTCTTTCACCCACTGAGTGAGACCTAAAGAAGAGAATGTGTCAAGAAATGAACAGTCAGTAGCACCGGTGGCCTTTGGAGAAGTAGCACACCAGTTGATAGAAGGAAGGTTAAAGTCACCAACAAGGAAAACCTCTCTGTCAGAACAGAACTCTGAGATGAGTCTCAAGATAGAGTCATTGACTTCGGGGGGATTCGAGGGTGGTCTGTAGACAAGCAGACAGTGCACATAAAATGCAGTGAGGTGGAACGACATTGTATTTGGAAGGGATTTCACCAGAGAGTCAGTCATGATGCACTTACGTATGTAGATGCAAACCCCGTACTTGGCCCTGGAGCCTGGGGTGTCGTGGCGATACAAAGTATAATCAGGAAGGGTGACAAATGAATCAGGGATTTGGGGAAGGAGGTGGGTTTCAGTGACACAAATAATGTCCCACTTTCCAGACAATGCCGATTCCCTCAATAGGTTAAGCTTAGATGGAAGGCCATTGATGTTAAAGGTAGTGTGCCACCTTTGAAAGATTTCCCATTTTATTTTTCCTAGGATAAGAAGCTTCTGTTTTTACCTAATATCGCAAAAAAAAAATCAAAAATGGGCCTGGAATAGTGCCTTTTTCGCCTAAAAGTTTTTCGGTTTTTAGATATGTATAACAACTGTAGTGGGCTCACCTGCAAACAGGCGTCGGGCAACAATCGCGAATGCGGCGCACTTGTGACAATAAGCAAAGGTCATTATAGTGTTACGACCATACAACGTACAGGAATGAGTTATCAGCTGTCTAATCGTAGACAACACAATGTCGAGCCTTAAACTGTAAGCCCGTATTGGTATTGTTTCTTTTATTTGGCTGTCGAACATTATTTATGGTTTGAAATATGATTTTATGTAAAATAATTGATATGAAAAAGCCGTCTTATAAGTTATGACCCCATTTCACCACACGCAAGTGGCAGAAATGACAATGATCAGCTGACGCATTTTTCTTGGCCGAAGTCAGAGCGCGCGGCCCGACGCACCACGCGTATTTGGAAATTCCGACCTCGACGAGCATCAGAAGCCACCTAACAGGCGTGTTCGAAACCGCAGGAGATGATGATGAACGGGTTTATCGAAACTTGATTGGATGAGCATATCGGTAATAGCGATTTCAGTGTGTGCATTTATTGTTCATAGTGGTGTGAAATGTGGTTGGGGTACGACCGACAACCCGTCGGGGCGAATTTCGCACTGGGGTACTCAAAATTTGAAGAATTTAAGACGTTTCCATGAGTTTTGAAGGTATGGATAAGTTCTAAAAATCCGGTTCTCCTTATCTGGGCCATTAACTCCATACGGTCCAAGAAAGCTGGCACACTACCTTTAATAGAAGCTATTCTAAGGATAGTTGAGCGAGTTAGTCTTGGAACTCTGGGGACAGGAACGTCTAGGGAGGGGAGTTTCCCTGGCTGCCCTGGTTGACAGGCTCGGGCTGCTCACTGGTTGCAGTCACAGGTTGGGCAGAGGATGCGGTCGGAGGACGCAGCGGATCAGACTGACCAGCTTCAGCTCGCCTGGCCTGCCTACGAGCATACAGCTCACCTCTTTGGGCGTAGGTAAGGTCTCTAGATATGTAGACTCTACTGAAATCAGTACCTCGCAGTGACTTTGACCCCTCAAACACACGTTTACGAACTTCATCATCCAAGATCTTTGCACGAAACATGCCTGAATGTCCCTGGATCTGGGTAACATCAGTTAGGGATGTTACCCAGATCCAGGGTCATGGAACATGTTAAAAATGAAAAAATGCAATCGACGCGGCGGCGGGACTTAAAATATAATAATTAAAATGAAAACCTAACCCAAATGCTCAGGAACAATAAATGACCAAAACAAAATTGTGAAACACTCCACACATAAATTGATATTACCGTCTTTATTTCTATGATATTAACCCGCGTCTTCACGCTTTCAGTTTCAACTACTTTCAACCTCCCTGCTTTTCAACCAAGTATAATGATAACTTTCAACACATTTTTCTTGCTTACTGGTTCTTTTTCGGTGTGTTCGGTACTAGGCAAAAAGTTAGCGTGCACTCGCAGGAGGTGGTGAAACAAAACCAATCAGTGTGTTAGATCACGGTGCACAATGCTGGTAGCAAGCTAAAAAGAACATTGAACTTATGAAATCCTTTTCGTTGTGTTTGTGGCGTGCTAATTACATTAATGACGCTTCAAGGATATCAGGAAGAGGTAGGTAAATAAAACTCGTTATAATGTAAAGGTAAATGCAGGTTTTGTTTTTTGCCTGATTAGATTGAAAAGTGGTTAGAGATCAGATAAATAGATCTGCCACTGAACATGCTACTGATTTGATGAGTAAGATTGATAAGATAATTATCAATCTATCGGTTTGTTGAAAGCAGCATGGATATATCCGATCATTCGTCCAATGACAAATGTGGATAAATGCACTAATCGAGACACGAGAGTTGGCGAGACCGACTCATTGATCATTCATTCGTTTATTGACCTTGGGTATCGGGGGGGGGGGGGGGAGAGACACAAACGCAAACATGGCAATTGGCACATTAAAACGATGCAAGCAATACAGGATAAAATACATTAAAAACAACCCTCAGTCCATCAATGATCTCTAGCGATTCGGCGCGGCGCAGGCTAACCGCCCGTGGGACCTCGAAAGTCAGAACCATCTCGGCTCCGGGCCTAGATATTTGTAAGCAACATATAACGCGCAATCGGCAATCGATGAGTACAGACGATACGTTCGGCAAACGGCGGACTCTACATAAAGGCTCTAAGGACGTCGTAACAGAGTTTCGGGGCATTAACATTCGTGTACATTGATAGAGCGTCGGGGAGGGAATCGGCCTCGTTAAAGCTAGAGACGTTGCGTGTCAGCCTACATTGTCGTATGACATGATCCTCATCCTGTACGAACGGACCACACGAGCATATAGGCGTAGATCTCTCGGCGTGTGAGACCATCTCCCCGTCTCGACCCGGAGGCGGTGTGAGCCCAGCCTGAGGCGAGAGAACGCCAGCCGGTGTGGTTCGAATGTGTGCGAGTGTGAAGACGTTTTTGTTTGGTAGATAATTTGCGCATCTAGTGAGGGATTTATCGATTTGTACGTGACTGCTCTGGAGTTTGTCGCACCCCTGATACGCGCCTTCACCCCGGATAGAGCGGCCACGGGTGAGCTCAGGTGCGGGGTGAGCTCACCGAAGTGACCGAGAGACCCCAGTAAGTGTTTTTTTTTTTATATACCTTGCTCCAGTACAATGGCGAACACGCCAAATAACCTTCATTTTATACGACTTAATTCGAATGGCTGAATGGTCGGTTGCAGAACCGACCCCAGCAAAGAAAAGTTGATTTCTTGACGCTACGACCCTATGGCCCAGCTATGGCCTATATCCATAATTCACTGTATCATGGTGGCTTTGATAAGGTACATTGATACAGTTAAAACTTAAAAGCGAGTGAGTTAACCGCTCGGACACCTCGAAACATCCGACACGAAGAAGACTTGACCGACCTCAGGTCGCGTTCAGAAATGTGCTTGTGCAGGGACACCAAAACCCTCTATCCCTCTATCGAAATGAGAAGCGTTGGATCGTTGGCGGGCCCCGATAAGTTAAGGGACCGATGGTGACCAATCAAATACCAGTTCACTGCCTTCACTGCTCATGAAGGACAAAGACGAAATGAAGAAAGCTAAGGAACGATAAAATGTCAACGTGTATTTGAACTCCACATCCATTTGTGGATAGGCATTTAATCACATATAAACATAAATAAGTCGTAACTCATGATTCACAAGTCGATGTTCAATTTTAGGGCTCACGTTTCAAGTGCTTCTCCACTTCAGTTAAATATATAGCACAACTTCCAGGGAAAGTTTGTTAGCAGAGAAATCAACCTAGCTTACAATAATTTGGGAACAGCTCTTCCAAGATGAAAAATTAACTGTTCTTATAGTTGTCCTGAACAAAGTACCAATCGCCCTAATAATACAAGCGAAACTAATATCAGACATCAAGTGGCAGGACTCGCAACCATCTCCAGGCAAAGCAAAGCAAAGCGGATACACCATGTCATGGCCACGACAAAACAACGAGCCTCGGTCAAAGTGTCAACAACTCATTTCACTCAAAAAGCAAACGACAACGGAGACATGTCTCAGGCACACCTTACCACATACTCTGTACGAAAACCATCCGATCCACATCGCACCAACTGCCATTTGCAATTTGCAAACCGCGCATCCTCGCGATCCATCCCACCCTCCCACCCCACTACAACCAACACTAAATGTCCACAATAACAAACACCTCGTGTTGGTCTTCATGATCATGGACCTGCAGGTTCGAGTATGTGATTGCCTTGACCTCGGTGCCCTGAGGGTGTTTGTCAAGGTCAAACGACTCTCCGTAGCCCCGGGCACGTATCCGGAACTGTACCCGATCAAACTCGACAATTTCCACGTGGCTGGCGACGAAGAACGGCTCCGCCGAGAACATGAACAGGAACTCGTCCAAGAAGTGGAAGAGCAGCGACTCGAGGTCGTGACCCTGGGCGGTGACCTCCTGCGTGTCACACGCCTCCACAGTGTCGAGGTCCGTCATGTAGCCGAACATGGCCAGCGCCGCCTGCTCGTAGGCCTCCGTCAGCGAAGTGCCCCAGGCGTGGATCTGCACGTCGGCGGGGTGGTCCAGGTACTCATAGCCGGCCGCCGGGTAGATGCAGTCGTCCGCGTCCCCCTCGTCCGCAGAGCCGTCCTCCTGCAGTGGGAATTGGTCAGACAGCTGTTAGAAAGATAAGCGAGGTAAGATGCTATCGAGATACAGAAAAGAAAGGCCACTCGAGACAATCACAAACACTGATGGCCTTTTGAGTAGGGAAAACAGAACCCACTAAAATATCATGCAAATGAAGCATCAAGATGAACAATGATTTATTTCCACCTACATTACACAATATACATAATACAAATAAACAATAAACAAATTTTATTGAAGCTTCAAAATGGCTGACCAAGGGTGTAGGCATAATTCTTTTTCCTCTGTCATGGTTTAAGCATAGTGTCCACGTCCTGGCTCCAAAGTGATCATGACCAAACCAGATCAAATTACGAACTGGACCCAACCCACTGCAACCCTGGATGGTGCTGACCTGGCTATCTGCACTCGTACTGTGCGGCAGAGCATCACCGCCACCATCAGTTACTGAGTCTGCAGCTGCCGCAGTCACACCCGGAGAGCTCGTGCTGCTAACCTCATGGTCACTAAGTGCTGGTGATGGCATTGCGAATTGCAGCACCTGACAGAAATATGGTGAAAATTGACATTAACCAACTTATGCAAGAATGAGTTTAAGAATTACTATTCATTTCTCGCTTATCTCAGAGGAAATCAGTTATCCTTAAAAACAGTTAATTGAAACAAAAAACACATTTTTAGCAAACTAAAAAGATTAAAGGTACCTACTTCTTTCACATCGGCAATTCATCTTATAAGGCAAAATACATAAGCATAGCAGTATTGCCAATACCTGTAAATCTTCTGAATTCCCCAAAAAACATGAAATTGCATTAGGCTTTATCAAATTACACGTAAATACAAAACTAAAAATGAATAACATGAGCAACTTGACATATCTATGGACTAGCTACTCAGTACTCTGATTTGATTTTTTTTTTTACTTTAGAAGAGTATGATTTAGACAAAAAGCTGCCTATCTTTCACGTACCTCCTATGTTCGCAGTCTGCTATGTCAGTAATTAGATAACTAGTAAATAAACCACGAAACAACCGAAGAACGCGGCTCAGAACCTTGAATAATACACTTACTTACTTGTGGTTACTTGTGGTGTAGGACGTATAGCCTCGTTGGGCCCAGAACGTCCAGTTGAATTGTCGTTCCTCGTAAAGTCGGTCCTTCACGTCTTGTGACTTGATGTAGAGCAGTGGGGGGTAGTATGGGGAACAGGATTGCTAGGACTGGAAGGACAGGTGAGGTTGATCTTGAGGTAGCTGAGAGGGTGTTAGTGTTAGTTTTCTAGCTGCAAACAAAAATAACTGGGTTAAGAAAAATAAGATAATGACGAATGGGGACATGACACAACATCATAGTGGCAGGGCCATGTAGGCCACCATAGTATCCAAATTGTATGTGTAATAGTCACATGATCAGTCCACATTCTGGAGGCACCCTGAGCTACGCAGAGCTCGTAACCCCGGCCAACTCTGACATCAAGTAGTTGACAGTATAGTGTGTAGGTCGGTATAGTCGACCATAGTTGAATAATACACAGTAAACAAAATTTGTAAACATTTGCCCATTTGCCACTCCGCCTAAAAAATCAAGCATGAAATAAAAAAGGCTATTTTTAAAAGTTATGCAAAATAAGTTCTATGTCGTCATTTGAATTCAATCAAATTCATTCGTCAGGTAGCCGTACGCCTAAAATTCATTGGAGCAAGTCAGACGAAATGTTTGGTCCTATGACGTCATCAAATTAAAGAACATAAAATGCTACGACTATAAACACAATAAGTAACGTCGGAAGCTGGCGCAATTTTGGCGCAACCTGGCGCAATCATATGTTGAAGGGTTGGAGCACTGAACTCTATAATGATATAGTGTCCACGTAGTATAGTGTCTGGGTTGGAGCAAGGGTTGGAGTTGGGTTGGAGGATGATGATCGATGGCTATGTCCGAGGCAGTTAATACCGATAAATCTGTGGTATAACCATGGGTGGAGAATGTTTGAAAAAGTTACCCCGGCCGGCGACCGATAGTCGGAAAGACGGTATATAGGGCCTTGGAAAGACGAAATGCTCACGTTGTTGTCAACGATCGTCATAAACAGCCAGTGCTATTCTGAACAGGGCTGCGGAGTGCGGAGTCGATAGATTTTAAGGTGACTCCGACCCCGACCCCGACTCCGGCTTCAAAAATCGACTCCATTTCCATCTCCGACTCCAGCTCCGACTCCGGGCATTGCTCATTAAGTCCATATAATGAAATCACATTTTAGGTTGGATATTTTTCATCTTGCCTGAAACGAAATTTTACGCGCTCCAAGGTCCTGTATTGCAAATGAGTACCTACTCTTGAAATAGCGTGCAAAATAAAAACAGGTTTTGACGCAGCAGCCTTCTTCAGCTTTTTTAAATAAAAACGCTGGTCCAAAAGAGGTCCTTATATTCAACAAAACCTGATTTTGAAAGGTCAACGAAAGAAAAATCGTCAAGCAACCAGGTGCAAGGCATGGCTTTGAGCCATCCGACTCCAACTCCGGAGTCGGAGTCGGTAAGATTTTAGCGATGCTGCAGCTCCGCCTCCGACTTCGGGCAATGGTTTTGAAAAAGTGCGCCGAAGGCGCGCCAAATTTTCGAAACTGAACAGTGAACAGGATTTGAGTTGGCAGTGGCGACCACAAGCGGGTCCTAGGGTTGGAGATTATGGCAAGTTAAGTAAATCATAAATACCTACCTGATTTGCAATGGTATGCCCATGGAAGTCAACATTCGAAGAGGGAGTTTTCTTTGCTCGTATGGAGACATTTTTTTTAGGATTTACAAGAGTGGAAAAGTTACCCCGGCCGCGCCGGGGTAGACTGAAAGTTACCCCGGCCACGGCCGGGGTGGCCGGGGCAGGTTCTCCACCCATGGGTATAACGAAAGATAGCGATACAGAGGGCATTTGCTGCATTTTCCTTTGGAACTCAGAACCAATTGTTACATTTTCCACAACCCCTGAAAGTTGAAAAAACGAACTGTCGCTGGTCAGAGAACATATTCAGGGAAGCGATATAAAAACCCTCTCCAGGTACTTGACCCCTTAGTTGACCGCCGTGGAATGACCCGATTGACCTAATTCATAACCTCAAGTTAGGTCCTGGCCAGCAGCGTTTCGTCTTTGAGTTTACCGCCTCCTCTGCTAATCCGCTGCCTTATGCGCGGATTTCTGACAAGGATTATCGGTTTTCTCAAATATACTTATGACTGTTTTCGATGCGAGAAAAATAGCCATGGCAGTTCATAAAAAATGAGCGCACCTGGGCACCTGTCCCTAACGCGCCCTCTTCATCCCGAATGCCTTGATACTACAGCTTTGCTGTCTTCCCGCTAGATGTCGCAAGCTATTGGTGAGCGGCCGAATGCCCGGAGGCGCCTCTCCAGGTACCGGTCGCCGCTCGGCGCTACGGTGGGGCTCGTGCAGTGTGTGCGTCGCGCGGTGCTGGAAGTGGACGGGGCGGTGAGTGACGCTGTGAACGGCTGTGATACATAGGAACGAGACTGGAAGTTACCACCGTATTAATGCTAACCTGTTGATAGCTGAAGACAGCACGCCGAGGACACCATGCGATCGCGCGGGGTGTTGTGTTTTATCGCCGCGATAGCCACAGGTGAGTGACGCGAAGTGTCTATCTACAGCGAGCTGTGTCGGGTGTATGCACTCGCATGCTGATCGCCTACGCACTGACTGGCCAGCGATAGTGATGATAGGGCTCTGGGCTTAGGTGATATGTCATGGGTCTTGGGATAAGAATTGAGCTTCAAAGTATTTCATCGGTAGTGCTTATTTCCAACTGAAACCACTTCACTGCATGATTATGGGATATGGATGCGATGCGCCATTCATCAAGGTCGCGGTGACATGTTTATCATTATTGTGTGCTTGAAAGTTGAAGCATTTTCGGAGTTAACATGTTTTCGCGGTCGATTCGCCTATAACCAATCTTGTTCTGAACTGCCACGGGTGTCGTTTCAAATGAGCCGCCTGGTATCTATTTCATTATATGCATTTTCTCAACATCGTGATCCGTCATACCATGTCGCGGACTCCAAAAAGATGATTGATCAGATTATCAGATAGGGTCACTGCAGGATAGATCCTTTCACGTGGTTCGAGTCCATAGTATTGCATCAATGCCTTACGGGTGCCTGATAAGAATTGAACGGTCACCGTAGGAAAGATTCAATTATGAATCTGAATTTGGTACCATTTTGTCGCCCGTCCACTGTGCTACTGGTCAGTGCTCATATAATCCTGACCTATTTTGTCCGTTACATTTTTTTTAACGATGCAGAGTTTGGCATTGCTTTTTGAAACGATATCCAGGGCTTTTACCAATAATTATCACTCACTGTGTTCATGTTGTGGTTATTCTGTAGGTAGGTACACTTTTTCTCTTTTCAGTTGACGATTCGGTGGTATTCATGGCTCATTTTTAACAAATTCCAAGCCGATCGTTACATCATTTCCGTACTAATTATACCCTCAAGAGGCCTGCGGCGATAAGGCAATCTCGATTCTCGTATAATCCGAGTCACATGATAATTTAATTTAAATAGGTGAATGTGGAGTGCCTATCTCACTTGATTATGATAGCTCTCTCGGCTCTCAGACCAAATGCCTAAGTAGCATGGGCTGTCCCCGTCTGATCAAATCCTTTCAAACCAAACTCGCTCTCCGTCTGCGCCCGTCTTATCACGGCGTCTGCTCCGAAATCAGACGGTGTTGTGGCTTCGACCGAGCCCGTCAAAACAGCAGCCAGTGTCAACGTTACAAAATGCCCACTTCATTAGAATGGGGACCGCGCCCTCGCCGGGATTTCACCGAGGTTCCCGCAGCCGAAGGCAGCAAATCCCGCACCGATGGAGAATCCAAATCGAAACTGTGCCTCCTCATCTCGTGAGTCCTCAATATCGTCCGCCTTGGTCTTCAAACAGCCCGATCGTATGTAGGCGACTCGTTCGGGCGTGTCTTGCTTGTGGGATGGGATCGGCATCGGCCGTGGCTTCATTCACACGTTCCAGCTTGCCAGGCACGATATCTAGAACGTACGAATATCCATGTGGGGCATTTCTTTCCACGTTTATTCATCACTACATCTTGCTCTATTCACGTGGAGTGAATAATAAGGAAGAATCCTTATTCCTGCATTTTCTCTTTTTCCCGCTCCTGTTGCATGGATGGCCCGCTCCTGCCTCCTATACCCTTAACCTATTTCTTCACATTCCCTTTTTGCTTTCTATGTCCGCTTTAGATTTTTCGTTCTCTTTCTGTTTCTTAGTCATATCTTTCACTTTCTCTTTCTTTATCTCTCTTTCTCTCTTTTTCCTTCTCTTTCTTTCACTTTTTGATCTTTCTCTTCCTCTTTTCTCCCTCTCCCTCTCCCTTTCTTCCTTTCTATTCCGGCACCAGCGCTCTCCCTTGCGTGTTTACGGCTGCGCGCTTTTTTTGCCCCAGGTGTCCCAAGGTGGTATGTACAGCAAAACCCGGAGGTCCCCGACAGTTAACCCTGAGAAAAATACGTAATGTGACGATCTGTCCTGGGTGCTAAACTTCTGGGCATTGGGTTATGCCTATGTCCCTTCTAAAAGGAAAGGAAGGGAACAGGCCAAGTGCCAAAGCGCTGCCACTACCAGCTTTCGACAGCACGTGAATGGTGGCTTTGGATGGTTTGGGCCTCATGGCGTTGTCCGTTGAATGCACTGGACGATATAGCTGGAAAGGTTTGCAATTGCGATTTTGTTTTGCAATAGTTTGCAATGTAATTTTACACGGTTAGCTTTTCGCTACTCCTTGTTTGCAAACTTTTTTAACTGTACCAATTTTCCGACAAAAATAAAATCGGCTTGTACGTTGAGAATTCTGTCGGCAATTCTCTGCAATCAGCGGGGACAAATAACGTCCGGACACGGGCCGGCGCCGGACCCCGTTTATCGCGAATAGCCAGCCGGCCTCCCGCGCCAGACGGCGGCGTTTCGCGCCATTTACCGCTCTATTGCAGGCCGACGCCGCTGGATTTGTCGTGGGGACCCCCTCCGTTCGCCTTTGGGGAGAAGGGGGGGGGGGTATCTATCAGCGTACTCTGAGAACTGTCTGGTGGACTGGAAGGGTGCTCGCTTTTACGAACAACTAGGATTTTCTTGAGGTGATTGCATTTTCTAGTTTTATCTACCACCCATCTTAATCAGCCGATGCTTTTGCCTTTTCCATATTTTAATTTGGCGAACCTGAAGTCGTACTTGTAGCTGCTTGTCTGTCCAATGTTTAGACATTATGGCGGGTGTAGCCCATGTACGGCCTTCACGTGACCACACATTTTTATTAAGCGCCCCGTGCCCCTCCCCGGTGTTACCAGACCACTCTGTCCGTTGCGAGGCTTCCCTCCTCCGCCCGCGGTCGTACGTTGGTTTCGTGACCTTGCCCGTCCGCCGCATACCTGCCCTGTGAGCGGGCGGAGGGAGGGGGAGGGGCGACCCCAGGCAATTACTGACTCCTGCCGGGAGGGCCGGCGGCCGCTGTCGGTCCGCTCTGACCCGGCGGCACGGCGCGGCGGCCGATCTACGGCCCCGGGTTGGGTCGACGGCTGTCGGACGCACGCGGCGCGGCGGCGGATCTCACAGGGACTCCCAGAGAGGCTGAGCGAAGGCAAAGAGCGTCTGAGCGTCGGGTGTCTGAGCGAAGGCGGGATCAGAGAGGAATGCGCGCCGTGTCGGGTGCCGAATCTAGGGTGAACATGATGAAGGAACCTTTTGTCTCAGCTGAGGCGAAAGGCGAAGGTCAAAGAGAAGCTCAAAACTGTAATTATGATTTTTTAGAGATGAAGGTTCAGCCGTGGCTATCCAACGACCATGCACATTCCAATCCATTCTAGAGATATACATCTGCACTGCATTACATACTACATTGTTTTAGTTTCTGTTGCATGTTCCGTTGCTGTAAGCCATAAAATTAGTGGTTTATTACTAAGGAATCTGCATATTTGATGAGACACAACGGAATGGCGATAACCACACCCGCGAACTCCTAATGGCTGTGCGCCATAAACCGAAAGTGACCTTTCAGAACTCCGAACCCATACGGACCACTAGTTGTCATGCAACAGGACCGGTCTGACCCGCTCCATGGGGTGTCCCCGCCGCAATTGGCGACTCCGCTCGGCGAGACAATAGATGGGTCGTTCTGCGAGCCAGACGTCCCGACCAACTGTGCTACGAGCCGGGAACCCTGCTTAGTGGTCGGGAACCCTGCTTTCAATGTGCGGGGCTACCGCCTTCATACACCCTGCATGCCACCGCATTCGGCCGCATTGGCAGGCCACACGTTTCCCCTGGTCTAGTATCGCTCGCCTCTATCGAACCCGCCCTTAACCCCTCCTCACTGCATTGAGGGTCAGTCGTCCCGCTTCTAACATGCGATACGTAGCTCCTGCACTGGAGCCTCCCTCCGTTATGGAGCTATCGTGTCGCTAAGGACACTTGCTGCTTGGTTTCCACGGAGTGCCTTGGTGTGGAAAGTAGCGGCCCATGTCGAGGCGTGATTCTCTGAACTAGCCTTCCAAAGGATCACATAAATAAGGCCTGTCTTGTTCTCCATTTGCAATGATTTATGCTGGATTTCCTGACGTTTTGACTAATGTGTCCATAACTGATCGACTGCTGAGTAGGTTTTGATGTATGTTCTTGTGGCTCAAATTGCTTCCTCATATTTCACTTGTGCATTAAATAATTCCAGTCATTCATACTTATGTGCCATCTTATTGGCAGCTAATATCACATCGACAAATAACTGCGCCTCTGATAAATAGAAATGTTTATTTGTATTTACATTTCTGTTGTTTTCTCACTCAGCCTATTTGCTCTTCTATTTTCTCCGCCTCTGTCTTATTTCAATTACATCTCCGCGCCTTGACGTTTCCTCGGTTCGATGCAAGAGGGGTGGGGCTGGGAGTGGGGGGGGGGGGGGTCTGGGTGGGCGCAGACAAATTAAAACGGCTCGCTGCTCGTGCAGAGCGAACCGCTGAGGCCCTCCGCCGCCTCTCTGGAACTCATCCGCGCTAATGTGTAGAGACGGAACGAGAAGATGCACTAGCGGGCGGCATTTCTGCCGTCTGTTTCTGATACTCTGGTCGAGAAAAAGGAAGGCGTTGCTGATGCAATAGCCGCCTGCTGCCAGCTTTGTTTGAAAGGTCTGCTCATCTGTAGAGACGTGCCAGCATCCTATCTTCTTGGCGTATGTATGTGTTAGCGTTGAAGTTCGGAGATAATTTGCAACCGCTCGGTTTCAACGTCTGACGATGGTGATCAAATTATTCTTATCAAAATGAAACAATTAACGAATGCTGGTCGGTTAGGCCGGTGAGAGCTTTCGAAATCATACTGATACCCCTGGATTGTCTGCCTTCTTCTGCATGATGCACCACTGTTGTAACCGGATGCTTGCTTTGCAAATCAAGCCCGTTATTCGGGAAAAGGGCGGATTCGAATATCGCGTTCGTCCCCAGCGACTCTCATCACGACAGCACAGCACTGGAGCTGTGTCCCGTTACGGGTGTGTCTCCGTCCCTCGAGTCTCCAATCCTATCAATCCCTCGGCGGTCCAGCCGGGCGGCCG